CGAAGCTCTTTGTTAAAGTACACTTATTCTTAAGACATACCCACATCAGTCTCCAAGACTCAATTTCCCACTCCCATCCTTAATTTGTTGAGTGGCTTTTTTTTTTTCATTCACAAGAACACTAACTGAAGAGATGAGTTTAACCCTTCATAATCAAGTAATAAATTCTCCTTTTTTGGAAACAGTGTTGTTTTCAAAGCTATCACTTAGATGGGAAGTCTACTGACAGCTCTAAAAGAACACAATGACATTAAAATAAGGCTGTATGTACAAAATGTTCAATTTGAAGTTGCATGTTCCTTGCTCATTTTTGTTTGAGAAATTGAAACCAAGGAAATCAACTATGAAAATTAAAATCAACTTGCACGACGTATCTGGATTATGCTCAGCCAAATGTTGATATCATCTTCGATAAAAATGTAAATATGACAAAGTTTGTTTTGCAGTCAATAAGTCTTGATAAAAGCTTTGAATTGTTACCAACCAAAAACAGTTTTTTTTTCATTTTAAGCTGGGGTCGGTGAACTGTTTCTATAAAGGAACAGTTAGTAAATATTTTGAAGCTTTGTGGGACACATACAGTCTCAGTTGCATATTCTTCCTTATTTTGTTTTGTTTTTTAATAACTCTTTAAAAACATAAAAACCATTCTTCACTTGTGGACTGCACAAAAGCAAGCTGCAAGCCACATCTGGCCTGTGGGCCATAGTGTGCCAACTCCTAATTTTAAAGAAAGTGAAGCCAAGAAAAAAAAAATGCAATGTTAGGGAATAAAATGTCTAAAAGGACTCTGATGAGACGAGGCTGCAACAATTACTAGCACATTATTAATATGATTTCATTAGTTTTTTGCCCATGGAAGGAATTTTAATGGCAGGACACACTTTGAGCTGCTAACCTGAAACTAGAGACATAGAAAGAGAGGGCAAAAGACAGTTGCAATATGCTGAGTTAGCCCACATACACTCCTATAGGGCTCTGAGTCACCGTATTAGCAGGTACTGTTTCCCCGAGGAGATACGGCTAATCCAGGCGGGAACATCTTAACTTTTCCCACATAAAAGCAAGCGCGCAAAATCTAATCCCTCCCTGGAAAAGGCGGTGACTTCAATTCGTGGAGGTGGTCATACCGATCAGAAGTGGCAGCAGCTCAACTGCGGAAGTGACACAGACTTGGATTTGGGGGTTTCATCAGCCTTAGTCTTCCTGCTTATAAAACTGGGGCAGGGGCATGAAGCAGGTAACTTCTAAGACTCTTGCTGCTGTCAGACTATGACTATACTGAATAGCAAAACCACTCAGGAAATACCCTAACAGGAAGAAGGGGGCAGGGCAGGGGAGAGACAGCAAAGGGAAGATGCTGAGAGGCCGGGGCTGGGCTTTCTTTTTGTTCTGCTGGCCCCTTGTTCGGGACAGGCCATTCCAAGATGTCCACAGTATTCAAGCACCCCCACATCCCACAGGAAACACAATACAGAGCTAACTGCGCTGCCGTTTCCCACCTGTCTTAATGTTACATTTTACATACATTTAATTAATGGTTAATAATAATTATGTAAGGGGTTCTGGGAGTCAATCGAAACACCTTTTCCGGTTCTTAAACATTTGAACTGGAAGGCAAGTTGGTAGTTGGTCCCAGGCCCCGGGCCTATAACTTCAAATGGATAAAACATCCCTTCTCAATAGCTAACAAAGAATATCTCACTGACACACAGGAAGATTTCCAACAAATCAGTTGAAAAAATATATACCTTCCATCACCTCCAAGAACAGTAAGGATACAAGGGGAGCCAGGATATCAGAGAAGACATTAGAACCTTCGAGAAGTTAAGGAAGAAAGGCTCGGCGAGACAACTGTGTCTGTATCAATATGACTTGTCTCTGTCCTCTCATGATGGCAGGACCCCTACCAGAACGGTGTCTATAGAGGTGCCAGATGTCCTTTCCTAAAATACTTCAATTTTAGCAAAGCGAAATTGACTTTAAACACGCCTTCACCGGAAGAAACAGGCACGCCTCCATATCTACCAACACACACACACAAACCCCAGGCATTAAGAAATTGGATCTTTCCTGTGACATACACCTTATCAAGTTCTGTCAGCAATGATGTGGTCAAAACCTTGTCAAAACCTCGTCAGAAAAGTCCAGGAACATCCACACCCAGAAATAATTACGACCGGGAGGAGATGGACCACCAGCCCTCCCCTCAACAACTTCAGACCACCTGGCCAGAGGGGTGAAGGGTGGGAGGGCGGGGAGATAATGCTGCTAGAGAGGTGGACCTTCCCAGCCTGCGTCTGTGGTCAGTGAAGAGTATGTGGAGCTCCTCACTAGAATGATGTTAACGTTCACCTTATTTTCCAAGCTTAATTTCAACTCCAAAGCATTAGGTTGCAGGTGCATTCGTTTTTCTGCCGTTTGAAGGCAGGTTGCTACCACTTCCTGTCACAGCTCCCGGGCTAAATAAGAGGCAGGGATTTCCCCTCCTCCAGGTCAACCGAAGACACAGCTCACAGCCTCTTTTTACCACATCCACCCCACAGAAAATCTAAAGGCCAACATCATACATAAGATTCACCTCATTTAATATCTACCTCCTGTTCTAAGCAGTTTCAGGACTCGGATTCTCTTGCCTTAATAGCAGCAACCCCTGCCTCCACCATGAAACTGAATTTCAGTCACTTACAATTTTTTTTAATTCAAACAAACAAAAAACAAACAAACAAAAAACCCACACAAGGAAAATTCTAATCCTTCAAAACAAAAGTAATTTTTCAGGGGGAAGGTCTAGGTCTCAGTGGTACAGTGCTTGCTTAGCATGCATGAGCTCCTGGGGGTTCAGTCCTCAGTACCTTCATTAAAAAAATAAAATTAAATAATTTTTAAAGTAATTTTTCAAAGCTACTATTGCAAAAGGAAGCAGACACTCTCACAGAAAAGGTGGGACAAAAATTAAGGCAAAACAAAGGAAGCAACTAATAAATTATTACAAACAAGCAAAAGTCACTCAAGGAGCTTAACAGAAAGAGCATCAGCGAGAGTCACTCATTTTCAATGCAGGAGAATGCTTCTGGGAGGGTCACACACAGAAGGGACAAAAGGCAACCCACTCAACTTGCTAGAAGCTGTCCCTTATCATCTGGACTGCAGTGTGCACCCAACGATGAAAAAGGGTTATTTGGGGTTTTGAAATTAGTACTAGCATCAAAAATTAAAGTCCTTTGGTTGCTGTAACAGCTCCCACCAAATCTCTTAGGAATATACTTGAGACATGACATTTAAAATCTGCTTCCTCAAAAAAGAAAAAGTCCCACTCAAGAATGACTGCCAAGAACTTGCAACTCAAACTTCCCTAAGCCCAGACAGCGTAACACCCGGGAGGTTTCAGACCACTCAATCCATATGAAAGACGCCAGAACAAACAAACCATAGCCTTTCCCAGCACATGGCAGAAGAGTGCTCTATACCCCTAGCCTTTGACAAATTATCCTTAAAACATACAAATACTCAAATACACTCATTACCAGAGTCCTAGCCCCCTAAGTACCCCAGCAATTCTTGGTGAAAGATACCGTAAGAACCATCCGAAAGATGCTTAAGTGAGCTACCATTAGAAGCCACAAACATCACCCAGACAACCAAGAGCTAAGATTCTTAAGGTACTTAATTAACTGCAGCTATTTAACAAGGGAAACGACATTAAGGTCACTTGTACAGGCAGCTTAAAACCAGCTCTGATTTGCTTTTCTTCCGTTTATGTTAAGTATAAGAGATCTTGTTACCTGAACACAAAGTCTTCCAAAAGTAGGAAGGATAGGTCCCAGCCAAGATCAGAAAAATGAGAATCAACTGAAACTAATGGGGTGGGAGGGTGGGTGTTACATGCATGTTGTGATTCATTTAGCAAGTAATAATTAAAACCAACGGAAAATATATGGGGAGGGAGGCAGAATGTAAGATCAATTCCTCAGCTGAGAAGTTACTAAAACTTCAAGGTAGTAACTGTAAAAACTGAGGTGTTTCTTCTAAGGAGATAGTAAAGGAGTGAACCACATTTTCCTGACCACACCATTCCCCTTAAGCCACCAGTTCCCTTAACGCCCGTTAACATCCACAGAACAATTTAACACTCCATAGACAGTATTCCACTATCAGTCACCTTTGCTGTTTCTCCTGCACTTGACCCAAAGGAAGTAAAAAGAGAGAAAATGATAACCAATGATCCTAGTTACTGAAGAAAGTCTTACTTTCCATTTCCTCTCCCTTTCCCATTTTCTCCCTTCTCTGCTCAACCTCTCTACTGTATATTCTGCTTCCCTTTTTCTCTCCTATTTCACACCCAGCTCTCAACTTTATCCACCAAGTATCCTCTTTCCGTACTCTGTTCGCCTGAACTCTTTTCCCACTTTCAGTTTTCTTCTGCCCCCTCCCATGACATCTCTGATCAGACTTCTTGTAGCCAGTGTCCCTCATCTCTCCCCTCCTGATCACTCATCCTCTGAATTCTTTTCCGATTCTCACTTCTCTTGTCCCCTGTGTCCTCTGTCCCTTTACTTCACGGACCTACCATTCCCCCAACCCTTCATTTCCCCCTTCACATTTCCTTCCTCTTTCCTGTCTTTCAATCCATTTCACACCCACTATTACCTTCTCCCTCTCCGTGAGACTTCCTGTGTCCCCCCCCGACTTTGTCCCTCTAAGATCCCTCCCTGTCACACCCCCAACACTCTCATTTCCCCCAGTACCCCTATCCTTCTTCCTCTGGCTCCCCTTCCCCATCCTTCGCCCTCCAGTTCCTCCCTTCAACACCCCAGCCTCACGTCCCCGCCCGCTCCTCTGTCTCACGCCTTCACCCTCTCCCACTGCTCTCACTGCCCTGACGTCCCCCGGGTCTCCTATCTGGGGCTCCCAAGCCCTCCCCACGGTTCTCTCCCGGGCCCCCTCGCACCCGCCCCCCATTTCTCATTTCCCGTTCCCGGGCAAGGCCCCTCCCTCACCGATGGTGGAGATGAAGGTGGTGTTGAAGGCGTCCTCGGAGAAGCGGAATAGGAGGCAGGTCTTGCCCACCCCTGAGTCGCCGATCAGCAGCAGCTTGAACAGATAATCGTACGTCTTCGCCATCTTCTCGCTCCGGCCCTCTGACCGGAGAGCAAGGCAAGCGACAGAGAGAAGCCGGGAGGGGGCCGCGGGCG